GCAGAGTTCAGCTCCAACCCTGAAAAAAAAAACTCACCTGCCTATAGCCTTAGTAATCCTGAAGACATTGATTAGCTTGTTCAGGTGTGTTTGATTAGGGTTGGAGCTGAACTCTGCAGGACTGCGGCTCTCTAGGACCGAACTTGCCTACCCCTGGTCTAGACACTACATAAAAAAGTGCATATGCATAGGCAAGCTGAGCAATAACCGCTGTGCTGTGTCATACTGCATTGTAAAAAGAAAATAAAAAAAAAACAGCAGTCAGGCAGCCACATGGTCTTGCGATGCTAAGTGCACTGTTAGAAGCTGTTAGGCTGCAGGCAGCAACTAATCTGCATCTCCATCACTGTCAGATGCTAATGAGACCCTTTAAACGGCTAGCTGGTCATGTGCATGTATCTCACTACTGAGGAGGCTGATCATCAGCAGGAGCTCTATTCGGCTAGTGCCATATATCTGTGCACCCAGGTTTTTTGGGAACATTTCATAATTATGTAAAACCGAAACTAATTAAACAAGCTCAATCACAGAACCCTGGTGTTTGACATGTTCGCAGTGCTGGCTGAGCGCTTTGACATAGCGAAGAGAACAAACATTGCTTGGAACTGAGACCGTACAAGGTAGAATTGCGATCTAAAGTGATTAGTGTAGAGACCAAATTATGCTGAAATGGCTTGGCAGTCTTGTGTAGGTTGGGCCGAGCCAGGATAACTCAACCAGTTTGTTTCTGATTTGTTGAGTACGAATTGAAGTCAGAGGCCCGATGGCAAATTGTATCTATACTAACTTTTTATGCACAACATTAATTAGAATAACAAATGCTTCATTACTACTGGAGGTTCGTCTGCATACTGATTTCAGTTGTCTCCGTATTCAATGTTTGAAATTTCGCCGCAGGAACTCTGGAGAGCTGTATGAAGATTTGACTTACAAGGCAGAATTAATGTGAAATATTCAAATAGATGCAAAACATCTCGACACTCTTATGTCATGGCCCGAGCTCGTGCAAAAATATACTGTAAAACATTTCTGTTCTTAATTCACAGACTGAAACGATGTCTCTAGAGGCAATTTTTTTACGAGCTTATAAACACCAGTGCATAATTTTAACCTATAAAACAATGTCAACACAGCAATCTTGCTGGAGACAGCTTAGCAAGACTTAGCAGTATGATTGCTGGTCAAATGTTAGTTGAACATGTCCATAGTTAATATGGTGATCTACACCTGAACTTACTACTGACTTTGAAAAAAACACTTTGGGACTAGAGATGCACACAGTATATTGTTACGATTTTTGGAATTTCATTAGTATTGGTCGATATATTTTCTTAATATCTTTTAATTAATATCCTAATATATTTGCCGTCATCCAACACACATTAAAACTCTAATAATTGGCTAATTACACTGTTAAAAGTAATGGTAACACTTTCTATGCAACACATGCTCATAATAAATTAAAGCACAATTTATACTTATTTATAAGCAAGTATTACTGTTCCCTAAATTTACGTGTAGCTTTTAATTGTTTTAGCTTTTAAAGGTTTTTAGTGTTTTATTATAAATTTAACTAGACAAATTAATATTTAACTTACACTACCATTGAAAAAAATTTGAGGTCAATAAGACCTTTTTTTAAAGACATTTATACTTTTATTCAGAAGGATGCAATATTTGTTTGATCAAAATGACACTTTTACATTGTTACAAAAGATATCTATTTCAAATAAATGCTGTTCTTTTGAACCTTCTATTCATCAAAAAATCCAGAAAAAATCTATTACACTTTCCATAAAAATATTAGGCAGCACAACTGTTGTCAACATTGATAATAATAAGAAATGCTTCTTAAGCACTAAATCAACATATTAGAATGATTTCTGAAGGATCATGTGACACTGAAGACTGGAGTAATGATGCTAAAAATTCAGCTTTGCCATCACAGGAATAAATTACATTATAAAATATATTAAAATTGAATTACAATTTCAAAAATGTATTTTACATTTAAAATATTTATGATTTTTGATAAATGCAGTCTTGGTGAGCAGACAAGACTTCTTTTAAAAACATTATGTAACCTTACCAACCCCAAACTTTTGAACAGTAATGTAAATATTATTTGTCTTATTGCACACTTGGCTTAAGTGTCCACTACACAAATGCTTTCTGGGGTCTCTGTATGCTGGTCCTTGCATCACAGTTGGCTCAGAATGTTGCTGAATTTTTAAATTGTGCCTTGAGGATATGGCAGCAGACAAAAAGGACATCTTACTATTGAACAGGTGCTCCATTGACTCCACTGGGACATCACACAGTCATTAGGGCATGGCAGGACGCAGGTCTGAGCTTGGAGAGGGATTTCTTCCTGGTCGCACAGGGTCTCATTCACACTGCTAACCAGATCCTCACTGCTACGCCTCACACACCTGTCACAGCGAAAGAACAGCGGAATGAGGATGTGGAGGACAAGGTGGGTTGTGACCCCCAAGAGAAGCATCTGTGATGGGGTTATTCTGTAAGAACGTGTCCTTGCTTACCGAATCTTGCGGCTTTGGACACCCTCACCACAGGCTGGCAGCTCGTCCACTGTGTTGATGGTGCAGACTGACCAGGGGTCTGTTACCCACTCGTACTGACCGCACTCACTTCGACAGGGCACAGCCTTATACACCTACAGACACACAGAGACAGCAATAATGCATTGATTACAGCAAAATCCATTTAAATATAACGAGATATTGAAGCTTGCATGACTTATCTCAAGCATTAGGGTGGTTAACATGAACAAGAAATGCTTGAGCATATTCAAAAAGTCTAATAAAGAAATGTATTGTAGATGTTCGTCAGAGTAGACACCATCTTTAATCTGATGCAAACAAAAATAAGGCTGTGAGGGATAGAGATACAGGCTGTTTAATGGTTCTCTTGTAAGAACTTTATCCGCTTTTTTTTCAGTAAGAAAACAAAAAAAAATATATAAAAATATATATATAATATACAAATTATATTTTTTTATATAATTAGTCTTACTGGCAGTAAGAGTGGTTACCAGTAACTGTTGTTTGATTACGGAATATCAACTGTTATTTTTGTAACATTGTTTTTGCAGTTTTTAAAAATTCTTAAATTATTGTCAGCAATTGCATTCATCTAAAATATTAAATGTGCATATTCAGTACCATAATGCTTCAATCTACTGTTGAAATCAGGCATTATGAGGACTAGACTAGACTAATATACAAAATTATTAAATTAGTTTGTAATTCAACAGTTTGGAAAGACAACAGAGAAGTGTAGGTCACAAATCAATGTTTTGGAGAGATAGATCACTTGGGAATTTTAAACATAGGACAGTCTTAAATCAGAACTTTTCTTTCTTGTTATCACATCTTTCTTTATTTAACCTCATTGTTATATAAGTCCCACTGTTTTGTACAGCTGGTCCATCTCTACTCATTTTACAACGGAATTCCATGCAATACAGTGGGAGGAACACTGAACATATATTGATCAATTTCTTTGGGCTTACAATTAGGGACTTTGATTAACTAATATTGCCACAGAAGAAACAAATATTGCAGAAATGAGACAAATGCAAACTGCTGCTAATAATGCGTCAACTGGTTGAATTTGCATTAATCCAGTAGCCAAATCTGTCCAGTAGCCAAATAGCTTGACCTTTATCCTTCACGGTCAAAAAGACTCCTCAAAAGTGACTGCCCTGTGTTTGAGGAGGAAAACAGCCCTTCACCATCCACGATAAACTTAAAGTCAGGTTTTGGCCTATTGTGGTATGAAATACCCAGTTTCATGATTGGGTCAATTTCTGATCAACAAAATCAAGCCCTACTCATTGCATATTCTGTTTCTGTTGATTAGAAATTTAATTCTGTCACATTACAGAAGAAAATTGTTGGCGAGCATCATGTGTTGTTGTCCTTTTGGTTTGCTTCAGATGTGTGTCTGCTCTGATTATGCTCTATTTTTTTTGTGGCTGGTGACTGGCGAGAGATTTGCAGCAGGCTTTTTGATGTGATGCATGTAGGGTATTCTCCTGCTTCTTAACTTCAGTAGACATGATTTCATTCATAAATGAGTCCAGAAGCCAAACACTGCAGTTACAAAATACTTGGCAATCAAACCAACAAACCTTGTAAGAAAGTGGCTTATGAAAACACAGTGAACAAATGAGACTGTATGTTTATAGCTTCCTCCCCAAGGGGATATACAGACCCTAACACACGCTCTCAAAATATCCCATCTGGCCCTGCAGCTGCTAAAAGCCCCATCAGCGCTCTCCTCTTGTCTCCTCTAGTCTCTCCTCGTCTCATCTCCTCTCCTTTAATGAGTGTCATTGAATTTCCAATTACAATAATCAAACAAGTGTTAAGACGATGCTCAAGATGTGAGAAGTGAGTGAAAAGATTATGAATAAAATTGGTAATAAATCTACTGAAGCATTAAAAAGGGTAATTTCATTAACATAGACAAATATCAAGCTCTAAAACATGACGATATCAAGAAATGAAATTGCCACGTTAAGAAACAATCATTAATTCAGCAGCACTCATCAACAGAAGCAAACAATTTTATTAAAAAGCCCTTAATAGGGGAAAGTCAGTTTTACAGCGCCTGAGTTTTTCTATGAGGCTACAATAAATATTCAACCTGCCGTCTGACTTTTACAATGCAAAGGCTGCGTTTGGTTATGGCATATTAAGGAATGGTTCCCGTCTGTTCTTTAAATAGCACAAATATAGTATTCTATCCCCCTTCACAGCAACTTTCACTGCCTAGCTCTCAAGTGGATGTAATATTTTAAGAAAAATAAACCAGCTATGCTGCTCACAGGTCAGCTCCTGTAACCTCTTGGAGGATGTAGGTACTCTGGGCCAGATAATGAAGTCCCCTGATCCTTCTCAAATGTCAGTCAAAGGGCCAGAGATGACATGAAAACGTACTTCATACTAATTCAAATCTCAGTCAGCCCGTGATCAAAATACACTAGTGCTCCTCTTATTCAGAGGAGGGCTGGGGCCACGGAGGCCAGAGGGGCAGTGGGGTTAACAGATGCACAGGGAGAAACACAGAATGAGGCACTGACCTGAGCCTTTGAAGATGTCCGTATTAGCAGTGCATGACAGGCAAAGGAGAGAGAAGAGAAATTATATATATATATATTAGTTTTGAGCTTTAGCTTCTCCTGTGCAATAGCCTGTTGCTTTCTGGACTAACTCCCTTCAACAGATTACAAAAGTACAGAAGAAATTTAATGCAGATTTTCTGGCTTTGTGTGTGTGTGTAATTATGAAGGATGAAGATGAAGACAGTAATAACCACGGTAAGCTGCCAGATTGAAAATGTAATTAACTTTCTAAATTGCATAAATATTCAAAAGTCTAGAAAATAATTAGTGTTTTACACTAGAGGAAAGCTGACCAAAACTTTAAACTTAAAAGTTTTTGAACTTAAAAGTTATCATACTGTTTAAAATTACGATAAATATATTGGGACACTTTCATATTTCACGATGTGAAATTGATGAACAAATCACCTCAAGACCATGGCCGTACCCAGGCTTTGAAAATTAGTGAAATAACGTCAAACGTTTATGACAGATAATATCATGATAATTTTCGCGTTTTCCTTACCGAATGTCGTATCCTGTCAGCAAAAACCTGTCCATGGGCTTTTTTGATTGCTTTCAGTTTAAGTGCCGGCGATGCAGTGTTGCCAGATATTGATACAAAAACAAACAAAAAAACTAAAAATAAATAAAAATAAACCGAAATTATTTCCAATCTTTTGCAAATAAGATAAGATAAAGATATAGCTGACTCTAAACTGTAACTTCCTACTTTATTAACTTTCTAAAGTGTTAAATTAAGTGGAAAAGACAAGTCTAAAAAAAAAGCTTATAATAGCTGGATCTGGTAACACGGAGGATGAGCCCGCGCCCTCACTCACAAATCTCTCAAGCCTCGTTCACTCCGCCAGCGTCTCGCAGCGATCATTTTCAGAACAGGGATGCTAAACATTCTTGCAAACTGTCTAAACTGAATTATACAAGTCATGCAGGCATTCATATGAGGAGTTTAACAGCAAATTAGTAATTCAAAGTACACATTTTAATTTTGAACATGAAAAATTTACAGAGGTCCGGACCTCGGTGGGCCTGCTCAAGACCAATCAATGCAAAAATGGCTCAGAAAGGTGAAGATATTTTTGAGAAAAGGAACATTTGTTTGTAGATGACTCTTAGTTTGACATTTTGCATCTAATGCAAAAACATTCATTTTTAAGTGTCCAAATGTTGTTTCAGGCCACTGTAAACATGAAATATACTTGTAAAATATTATTTATACATTTTCAAGAGTCTTCATATTAATATATATTTTGATATTCAATAATGAAAAACAGTTTAAATGAAAATATTTAAACATTCAATGATTTAAAAAAAATATTTTATGGAATGTACAGACAGTATATGTAGGCTATTTGTAATATAATACTGCACGATATTGTATTCTGCAAAGTTCTGATATCATATTATTCATACAGCATATTTTGACTAACAACAAGATACTTATAAAAGAGGGCTATAATTGTTGTGCATAGTGGGTCAAAGCAGTACTAAAAGAGCACAAAGGAAACACTGAGGGCATCCGCAGTGCATGTAATATATGCACACCTCCATTCAACACACAGAGCCCTAACATGAGAGCAGCAGAGACAGCAGTGGTAAGCCTAGCAGGCAACTCTCGACTCTATAAATCTCTTTAAGTGTCACAGCCTGACTGAAACTTTAAACAGATTGGGCCATTACTGTCTACTGGCCCCTGGAATCAGACAAAACAATCGGGGTACACTGAAACACAGGGAGATAAATGCTACCACGGTGATGGTTTCTAATACACTTAAGATGATGTTCTGATATTGAAACGCTGATACTAGGCAAAAACGGGAGACAAAATAAAAGGATGAGATTTCAGGAAGTACTGGTGGGCTAAAGGGCAGATCTATTGTGCTCACACTGAAGCTCCAAAACAATGTTTTAGGACATCCCAGACTATATGTGATTTTATCTGACAGCTGCCAATAAAAGATCTGCGAAAACTTAAATGGAATGGGATAACCTTTTTTGTTTTGTTTTACAAATGCACCAACATTTACTCACCTTAAAGTCCTTTTTTTCAATGATTTTTGTAGAAGTGTGAGAGACTTGAGAGTAATGGCAGATGGCAAGATTTTCAGTCCAGAGTAACTTAATTTCTTTCTGTTCCTTGCACAAAGGTATTACGGCTTCTGAAGGGTTGAAATATAGCTTGAGTAATATTGACTACATGTGATTCTGAAGTAATGACTGCTGAAAATTCAGCTTTCAATCACAGGAATAAAGTACATTTTAAAAATATATTCTACTGCATTTTTAATCAAATAAATGATTGAACATGAAATATTTATTTTACAATATAAAAAAAAAATCTCATCGACCCCAAACTTTTGAACTGTAGTTTATACATTATTTCAAAGCAACTTTAGAGAAAACAGTGCCCCGCCCCCCCCCAGCTAGCAGCCCATGGAAATGGAAAACTCTTTAAGATGCTTAAGTAGAATGAGGAAATGCCATCATCATCTGCCAGGCACATATTTAAATAAATCTCCACATGA